TAAGAATGCCACATAGAAACAAAGACTATGTAAGGTTAACTTTGCTCGAAAGGAACTTCAACTCGATCTCACTAAACAGCAACTAGTTCACGATCGTACACGATGTGCTCACCATTAGATGAACTTCGGTACTGCCCAAGAGCGTTGGTACGAACGGGTTTATATACTAATTAGAAAAGGGGTGATCTGGTTATTATTTAAATGATCGGGCTGGGCCCATCTGTTTCGGCGACGGTTTGAAGTGGTTGCAGATGTTGTGTAATTACGCTTTCCCACTGCTTTCCCAAACATTTGGTTTTGTTATCGCTGGGCCTTCTGTTCGTTTGAAGAGCAAGCGGCCTGTTTGCCTGAGAATTTTCCTTTTCAGATGTTAGAGGTTTATTTCTTAAGATAGGCATGTTTGATAAAACGATCTGCCTACGTGACAATAAAATTTAGTATATAACCGAAAAATATGACTAATAAATAAATATCAATTCAAATTTTTTGCGTAAATGTTTATACATTAGTGGTGGTGGGGCACAGCCCTATACATATTGTGTGTGTATATGTATATGTATACTATATATATGAGATCCTTTTCCTACACTGTCATTTTCACCAGGGATCCCTCCGGGGAAGGATAGGAACCCGCACATCATCATTTTTTATGAGGAAGCCTGATGTGATCGCGAGTGTATACCTAACTTTTATTATTTCAACTGAATTATAAAAGAATTTATAATAATAATCGAAAGATTAATTGGTTTTTCGTGAACAACCGATGATGAGCCTATTAATAAATTTCCGGTGGGTGAAGTGTTAATAAACATCCGGCGGGAAACTCCTGGACAAATCTAAAAGAACGTTCTCGAAAACGCTTGAAGCTGAATGCTCGCGGGGCTGAGGTGAGCCAACACGCCTGAAAATTTATAGTATCGCGCATCCAGGCAGCTGCTATTTATCAAGCGACGATACATTAAGCCGATATTTATAACGTCGCCCATCCCGTACCAGAGGAATTTCATTTTCAAACAGACTATCCCCAGCTCTCGACCTCTCCGTGGCCGATATAATTGCATAATTAGCACCGTACGTCCGCTTCTCTGGAGGCTGTACAGCAAACCGAACAGAGAGGGGTGGGTCAGAAACGGGTAATGAAATAACTGTGGCCAGATGGAATGATTACTTTCTTATCACTTGAAGGCAGGTAGGCTATTATGGCATTCATCAGCCGTTACCTGAGGAAGTCGAGAAGTAGAGTGAGACCAGCTGAAAAGAAGGGTTGGCAGAAGAGGGGTCGAAGAAACTAGATAACGAGAGAGAGAGAGAGAGAGAGAGAGAGGGTGATAACTGGTGAGCTTTACTGTATAACCAGTTACGCCGTGGCTAGGAATTGTGGAGGGGGTGTAACAACCCCATTATTGAAACTTCAAGCGAGGAGCAATCATTCTGCAATTAGCAAAAGTGATTAAGTGTAGAAGCTAACACAGCTCGCCACCCTCTGCTCAACGTATACTCTGCAGCCTCTCTTCTTCTTCTTCTTCTTCTTCGTCGCCATTTTCGTTTCGTATCCCTCCACCTCTGGAAATAAAAGAAGGAAAGAGTAAGGTAAATTTTTGATGCAATAATAAAGCTACTCAATTGAAATAATAAATTTTAATATTAAGAATGAAAAACGTAATTTCTTTAAATTTTTCCTCTATTCATTTCTGAGTAAAAGAAGTTTAAAAAAAATGTCTTCAATTTCTTAATTTAATTTCATCTAATAATGTAATGATAAAAGTGTTAATCAACATTTCTGTATAATTCTTAACTATACATAAATAATTGACTATATTTAAATGAAGGTACGCGTATGAAATATTCATTAAAATTTTGACACGAAGGAGTGGAACATGAAACTCGCAGGAGAAGGAAATGTCAAATATTTCTCTTCTTGATAGTTCAGTGAAACGTAAAAGTCAAGTGGATCGACGATAAACGCGGATCAACTGGAAATGACAATAAACACGGAATGCTGCGGAATGTGAGAATTTCAAATCAACCTGTAAAGCAGGATCAACATACCTATTGCAAATTACTTGGCTCGCTCTATGCGTGTCGTTTTATGCAACTGTTTATTTACCTACGTATGAATATGTACACTGTTGAATATGGTATTCTCGTCCCTTGGATCATATGTAATGATTTTGCATTTTGATGACCTGAAAGATTAAAATACAGACGAAATTTTAATCTTGTTCTTATCAATGTTACATTCTTTATGTTAATTAACCTTAGAATGAAGGAAGTGGGTCAATCGTGGCTCAGACCAAAATTAGGCACTTTGATTTATAAAGAGAATTTTCATAGATTAGAAAATTAATTAAGAGATGTGAGAAACCCCGAAAATATCGGATAGAGTCGGATCTATCGAGCACGCAAAATTTTCGAGTTCTCGTACACATGCAAAAATAATATTTTAAATTTGAAAAATAAGAATGAAGAACGTTTTAAGAATAAAATAAAATTATTGCAAAATTTAAATTCTACAGTAATTAATGAATCTATTTCGTAAAATAAATTTCTAAAATTACGTCGAATATTATTTTCTGAAATATGTTGAAGAAATTTGAAAATAATTACGACAGTTCAGATAAACTGTGGAAGAAAACAAACGACTTTTATTTTCCCATCGGAGAGGGAAAGAGAGAAATGGAGGAAATCGTTCACAAAGGAGAGGAGGGTTGTAACGTGACGTTCGAGGGTGAGAATCACAGGGGATGAATGAGGTTAATTGCGTCGATATCAGGAGAATGTGGATGGAGGGTGTTTCTATGCGAGAACACGAGGCAAGAATGCGAAACAAGATGTGTGTGCATCGGCATTGACCTCTCGTGTGCACGTTCATCGGGACTGTAATTTTTAATTGCACTCGCGTGCGAGGAGGGTGTCATGTCGTTACGCTTCGAACCTGTTCGACATTCTTCACCCTTGTTGACACGTACGAGTGCAATTGTTATCGAATAAACAATATTCCTTTGAATCGTGTATTGTGGATTTAAAAATTTTCTCAGAATTATTTTTTAGATGGATGTTTTTATAATTGAAAAGGTTCTGAAACATGATTAGGGTTTCGTTTCGAATACTTTGGTGTTCTGTTTAATTTTTAATGAAACTTGATATTTTCGGCTTCAAGTTCGTAGAGAAGTTTTTCATTTGAAATTCCATAAATCAGAGAAGAAAAAAATATATTGATGTCGTGTCTAAGGAGTTAATAATTGTTATTACAACGTGCCTCGCATATATTTATTTTCATGTATAGAAAACCACAGCATATATGGATTGTTGTAGAGGGATATCTTTTGTGTAGAGCGTCGCGTGCCGTCACGGTGGCAAATTTCCTTGCTGACGTGCTTGGCGCGCGTCGGTTATACGAGTTGTTTATACGAGCAATAATTTATTACTTATACCCGTACGAGGCATGTGATCGTTAATATCATAGACGTCAGAAGGTGGAAGATGGAGAATGCAACGGAATAGTAACATGCTTAAACGAGAAAATACGCGTGATACTTGAACCACTTCAACACCGGCCCTTTTAATCATCTTAATCGGGAATTTTTGCATGATTGATGCGGGTGAAAGTGAAACTAGAAAATCAGATATGATATGTACATTTCATTATACCTACAAGTTGCTCTTTATAATTTTTTCACTAACAACGAGAAGGCAAGCTCTTCGGGTCTCAGATTTAGTTGAAACTTCGTACACTTATAGATTTCGTTCTTCTGTTTACGAATATACATATACAATTATAGGCGTAGATACTCAATAGTTTTTTAGATATTTGTGTTTGAAGTTTCATTATACAGAGAAATATAGATTTAGTTACAGGTTTTGGCAAGAAGTGACTTGGCGAAGTAGTCACGTATCAAATCCCCCCTCTTGGTGTATAATTTTTTTTTCGATTTATTTACTCCAATCAATTGGATTTCAAATACATATGCAATGATACTATTTATGTCAAACAAAAAATAAAAATTGTATGCAAAAGTAATATAATAAATAATTAAATCAAAGCACATTGATTATTTTTTGTTTATGGAAAATAAGAAAGAATTAGTCTTTTTTCCTTCAGCCACGTTTCCAATTTCCCTGTCGGTCGAACTTGAAGGAAAGTTGTTGGAGAAACCGTGGCCGTGCGTATCCCCAATGGTCGCGAATCGTCGTCTTGTCGTCTGTCAGCCGTTTGGAAATCTGAAATTTTTATAATTTCAACTTTTCCAGCCGGTATACGAAGCCGAAAGGCTCGTACAGCCTCCCCTTTAAAGCATACCTCGCTCGCGTCAACTTTTATTCGGTATAAGGGCTTTCGAACTCGTTTCACTGTACGATAGGAACCAACAGGGAAGGTTAGCCATCCTGTTGGTCGCGTTTGCTGGCGTCCCTCTGAGAAATTTAACTTTCTTCGTGTCGAGTGAACCGGTCGAATCGATAGCAAGAATACCACGGCTAACGAGTCGTTTCCTTTGTGAATTTACCACGACCTGCTTCTCTTTCCTTACTCAGCGTTTCCTCTGTATCGGGCTAATGTCTTCATCGAGCCAACAGCTACATTTCGTTGCAGCTATAATTCTCCTTTACGACTACCATGAGTCAGCGATTACTCTTTTATATATATATTTTTAAAATATATTTATTATCTGTTACATGAAATAAAACTTGTAACACCAGAAATCTTTGTATATAGAGGTTGATTAATATAATTAAAACACTCATCCCTGTTAAATATTATTAAAAATTATTAAGCATATGATTTTACAATTTTTCTATTTACAAGGGCTAGAAAAAATAATAAAAATAGGTGTTACGTGTACCTATACTTATACATTTACTAGTATACTATCTATACTTATACTTATACTTATACTTATACATTTGATTGTTAGTTAAAATATCTTGTGATACCAATATTATTAATCCACGGCATGAGATGTAAAATTTATTATAACATTTGTTTTGATACTTTTGTGCAGGTCCTTCGTTTTGGGGTCTGATAAACCCACAGTGGTCTCTGTGCAGCAAAGGAAGGAGACAGAGTCCTATCAACATCGAGCCTGACAAGCTTCTTTTTGACCGCCACTTGAGACCAGTGGTGGTCGATAAACACAAGGTAATTTATCCAATGCTCTTTGTTTTCTTCTTAATCGTAATTTTATAACTTCTTACAATTGGTATTCTTTCTATAACGAAGAGTAAAGAAAGTTTGATTATTACGTCAAGGTAATCAGTGAAGTTCCACAGTATCGAATCTATATTTCAATAATTAACGTTTGGAAATTTAACATGTATAATTTAAAAAAAATGCGATATTTATAATTGTTATGGATAAGTCAAATGTTGCGCGCTAACAAGCCATGCGAGATTCGGAGCGCTGCGTGTTAATGAGCCATACCTGGCGCACCGGCAAAGAGTAAACACGTGCCAGAGTTCGCGAGCGTTTTGTAAAAATGTGAAATAGAGCTAACAAGGGAACATCGGGGACTGATACACTCCGATTTTGATGAAACTTTGCATAAATATTTATTAGACCTGTTTATGAAGATAACTGTAATTCGTCGGTGCCCGTTTTTCACTTTGAGGGAGATATCAACCCTTTTATCCGAACCGCCCTTTCTATATACGTGCTTATAAATCGTAAACAACAAAAGATATGAAAAAATAGTTGAAATAAAAGTTATATCGTTTCTTGAGGTTTATAAAGCTGAGTGTAAGTTTTTTTTTTAAATCATCCTTTTGCAAAATTGAATTCCCCCTCCCCCTCCGTTTTGAAAAATTTTACGCAGTTTTATAGACCTCAAGAAACGGTATAACTTTTATTTCAACTTTTTTTTGATATCTTTTGTTGTTTACGATTTATAAGCACGTATATAGAAAGGGCGGTTCGGATAAAAGGGTTGATATCTCCCTCAAAGTGAAAAACAGGCACCGACGAATTACAGTTATCTTTATAAACAGGTCTAATAAATATTTATGCAAAGTTTCATCAAAATCGGAGTGTATCAGTCCCCGATGTTCCCTTGTAAGTGAAAAGTATCGTGGATTAGTAATAGATCTACCCAGCCATCCGCCTCCACCCCATTACAACAAATAACAACAAATTGGCGATGAGGATTAAAAAGGATATACGAAGAAGAAGAAAAACTTCGAGAAGATTTGGTATCACCATTAGACCACGTGGCGGTTATACCGTGTAAGGAAGGAAACGAATCAGGGCCAAAATGTTAAACTATAACTATACAAAAGAAAAAAAGTATGGCGATCCAAGGAGGATCTGGAAGTATAGTCCAAAAAGTCGCACAGACAACGGCAATAATTCATTAACAATTGAGTCATTCGATGCAGGGATTATAATATGGCGAAGGTGGTTACAGAAGCTGGTTCCTAATTTTTAAAATACAAAACGATGAGCGGGTGCCGTACTGGTTACATTACGTAGGCCCCGCGGCCTTTGATATTTTGTGCGACCGGTTGAACCCGGAGGATCCTTTCTTACAAATATTTGAGGCTCACAGAAATTTTAGAAGAATATTATGAGCCTCCGCCACTAGAGATAGCCGAAAATTTCCGTTTCCATTATCGACGCCAGAAGAATGGTGAAAGTGTACAACAGTTTGCCGCGGCACTGCGTAAACTAAGGAGAATATTTGAAGACTGCACTGAGGAACCAATTGGAATTTGGGTTGGCCATCAAAAAGATACAGGCGCGGCTATTAGAAAAAAAGGACTTGTCGTACGAAGAGGCATTAAAAATCACAACAACAATGGAACTCTCGGAGAAGGGCTCAGCATGGCTCCAAATCGCGGCGACACAATCTACTGTTCAGGTGGATGTCGTTCAGGCAGGAAGGAGGACATCAAGGAAACTAGGGGCTAGTAGACCTAGGAATGGACGAAAAGGGAAGTTGACAAACGGATTTCCTAGTTATTCCAATAATCGTTCTAATACTGTGGTAAATTATTATACGAATAATTATCGGATAGAAAATGTTAAGGGTTTGAAACGAACAGTAACTAAGCAGATTAAATGTTACAGATGCGGCAAAAATCACTTAGCGCCACAATCTACATTAAATAGAGAAATTCGTTGCTCTGGTTGTGGAGAAAAAGGAGTATGTTTCATCTGAACACATTGATCTGAAAAGAGTATGTTTCAAGATAAAGGAGCACACCAATCAACTGGAGGATATACTACAGTTGAAACATCCCCAGTTCAGAAATAAGTTTTACTGCACATTGCAAGTAAATAACAAGCAAGTGAAATTTGAGGTAGATAGCAAATCGGCAGTGACCGTTATGAATCAGAACAATGTGCGCCCGTGGTTTCCTGACGCGACTATCTATCTTTGTAAATCGGTTATAAAAATATTAGGATACATTACTGTGGGGTTTGTGAGCGGAGCGTGGCGCCCCATGCGCCTTGGACCTTTCCTGTGATGGCCGCAAGGTGTCGCGCGTGTAACTCCATCCTTTCTCGCAAGTGCTCCATCACGGGCCTTGTCGATATATACAGGATGTCCCAGAACTGGGGTAGGAGCCGAAGAGGGATGATTGCTGAGATCATTCTAAACAACTTTTTCCTTTGTCAAAATGTTGTTTAAGGCTTCGTTTTCGAGTTATTAACGAAAAACACTGGTCAATCAGAGCGCGTCTTTAGCGCGGGCCGAACCACGAGAGTGTTGGGTATGCTCTGCGTTCAAGCCGTGGTCGTGATCAAGTGCATCAGCACCACGTTGGTATAATAGGGCAGAAGTTGTATGGAATAATGAATAAAAAAAAGAAAAGAATAATAGTATCGAATTATTGATTGCTCATGAACAATAAATAAAGTAATGAATCGTTATTCATGCAGAATGAATAAATCGAATTGATCTAACACTTTTATTTGTTGTACGATAGGGGTTTAAAAAAATACTTTGTAGTCACTTTTGAAAAAAAATGAGAAAAACGAATACACGTTTTGGAAATCAAAATAAATTTGCAAATAATAAAAAAAGGATTGAATGTAAATGAAACTTATCAATTCATCTGTAAATAATCCAGCTGCAATGAAAATGATTTTTCACTGGGTCATTGTGTCAATCCTGAACATTCGAGGAGGGAACACGTTAGGAAGAACAGCTGATCTCCAGACGGGATCATTGAACTCACTCAACCACACGGTCACTATCACTTTTTACAGAATTTCATTACGTAGTGCGAAAGGGACCGATACTTTCAACTAAATAAATATTTTTATTCACTGTCACGTTGCTATTGCACTGCGCATAAACAAAAAACGTAATATTCCGCACTATTTCGTAACGTTTTCACGGCGTTACTGGTCTTCCTTTCCAACTTCAAATGGGACTACTAGCTTCAGCGTCTGCGAAGTCTGTTTCGCTCTTTGTCTTTTTCTACAATCGGAAGTAACCGAGAGTAAGTGAGCCTTTGAATATAGCCAAACGTAGAAAAGGATAAAGTGCGAAAAGAAAACTCGCAGACGCTCAACCTACAGTCTCATCTGAAGTTAGAAAGGAACACCAGTAACGTTGTGAAAACGTTACGTCGTAGTGCGGAATATTACATGTTTTTCATTTGTGCCCAGTGTAATAGCAACGTGACAGTGAATGCAAATATTTATTTACTTGAAAGAATTGGATCCTTTCGGACCATGTAGTGAAATTCTGTGAAAAGTGATAGTGACCGTGCGGTTGAGTAAGTTTAATGATCTCGTCTGGAGATCAGGTGTTCTTCGCAATGTGTTCCCTCCTCATATATTCAGGATCGGCACAATGACCCAGTGACAGCAAACCGTTTTCATTGCAACTTGGTCATTTACGGACGAATGGGTAAGTTTTATTTACATTTTTGAATGTTTTCGAATTTAACACGTTTATTAGTTACTCCATTTCAATCCTTTTTTTAGTACGTGGAAACTTTTTTATTTCCAAATCGTGTATTCATTTTTTCATATTTGTTTCAAAAATGGTTACAAAGTATTTTTTTTTTAATTCCTATCGTACAACTAATGAAAGTGTTGGATCAATTCGATTTATTCATTCTACATGAACAACGATTCATTACTTTATTCGTTGTTCATGAGCAATCAATAATTCGATACTATTATTCTATTCTTTTTTTTATTCATTATCCGATGCAACTTCTGCCCAACGAATCTTATTATACCGACGTAGTGCCGATGCACCTGATCACGACCGCGCGGAGGATACCCAACACTCTCGTGATTCGGCCCGCACTAACGGCGTGCTCTGATTGGCCAGTGTTTTTCGTTAATAACTCGAAAACGAAGCCTTCACCAACATTTTGGCAAAGGAAAAAGTTGTTTAGAATGACCTTACCAATCATCCCTCTTCGGCTCCTATCCCAGTTCTGAGACACCCTGTACATACAATGTATATATAAGATCCGAGAATATAGAACACAGGCGTCTGGGGCAGGGACCATCCACGTGGAGTTTCGCGGCGACCGTAAGAGTGAACGGACGTACTAACAACTTGGTGAAAAGTGAATGATTATTTGTAATTATCGGTGCTTGCACCCGTGTCCAAGAGTGTTTCGTGTATATATATTTATTTTCCTTTTTACATTTCTTGTGACACCAGACGCTATATAATCACACTGTGTGAGTGGAATCCTAACATAGTGGCGTGCTTGGCCCGCAATACACACACTACAATGGCTTCCGCAGCCACGCATAACGCGAAGCGGGGGGTCTCATCATCTAAGAGAGCCAAAAACGCTAAGACTTCATTCCCTCCAGCTAGATAATCGTACAAACAGGTTCTGAGTGAATCTAAATCCAAGCCCAGTATCATGGCGCCTAACCTAAAAGCCGCTAGACCACGTGCTACGCCCGCGCGGCCTACGAACGCCGCCATCTTGGACAGCGCACAGGCGCATAACCCAGGTCCCAATGGCTGGCAAACACCTAAAAAGACAGCCAAAATCAACAGCGATAGAGTAGCCCCCGCAGCGGACGTTACCGTAGACATTAACAACCGTTTCAGTGCGTTATCTGACGATGATTCGGATATGGACGCGGAAGACAACGGCAGCACCGGCGCCACTGATGGTCAACCCACAGCATTAAAAACACACCGATCCCCACCT